ATTTTCAAAAATAATATTTAAAGTTATCAATTCAACTTCTTTTAGTTCCTCGAGATCCAAAATTAAAAAATTGTGCTTGCATGGATAAGAATTTTATGGTCCAATCTGCCACGACCCAACTCAATAAGATCGACATAATGGACAAGTTGTATCGTCTTAATTTGCAATAGGTGAATCCCATTGGTTGACTGAAAAAGAAATGAAGTGTAAAGTAAATACTTTGAGACTGTTTGGTTATCTGCAAAGTAAACGCATGAGAGTTGTTTCCCTTGTTTGATTAGGTAGATCCAGAGTAAAGTAAAAGTTGTTTTTTTTTAATAATTTGAAAGAAATCATGATAACTAATGCAGTCATCTGTTAGTATTTTCATCAAAACCTCTCACATCGCCATTTTCAATTTTAAATATTTTATGTTACATTCATAAGACTCGAATTGAAGGCCTTTTAGGCTTTGTTTGAGATAAAATATTACTTTCTAAAGTTGTTTTTTAAAACTTTTTTTTTTTTTCAAAAAATCTTTATACTAAAAAACAGATTTATAAAGAAATACAAAAAATGTCCCAAACAAAACCTTAATTGATAACCAAAACTATTAATATGAATAAATTACAATGCTTTCACTACATTTTGGAGTGAAAAATGAGATTTTTGATTCGAGATGCCCTTATAACAAGGTCGAACGAAAAAGAAAATACATGTAGAATAGTCAACTACATGCATGAGATTCTTGCAAGGTCATTCTCTAGATAAAAAATAAAAAAAAAACTCATATCCAAAGTAAATGAGAAAGCTAAATGCATCTTTATTCAACTGCTTCTCCTGGAAGCCAGCACACATGAATTATTTCTGCATTAACTAGCTTGGCATTCAATATAGGATTCTTCTTCTAAAGGTTTCTTTCCCTTTTGCAAGGCAAATAATCCATCAACTAAATGGTAATGATTTCGAGCAATAAACCTAAGAACTATATCTACGTGCTAGACAATAACAACTTGCCAACAAATAATAATCATTGTAGGTTTTTGCTCTCATAGATTAGATGATCAAACAAACATCCAAACCAAAAATAAAAATAAAAAAATTTGAAGTCAAAAAAATGAGTATAAATCCAGAGTTCTCATACTAAAAAGTACCAAATGGCTAATTCTTATCTTAAGATGCTACTAGAACAAAACAAAATGTTAAGGAAAAGATGCTTTGTTCTAATATAAAGGTCTGCAAAAGTCACATGAGATGGATCAGCAATCACCAAGAATGTACATCTAGTGCATAAATCTAATGAAATGACAAAGTAAACATGGGCTAAAATGAGTAGAACATAAAAATAGGATAAATGACTCCAATCATTACCATAGTGGATCTAGGCCTTGTTGGTTGTTGTGGTGTCTGAGAAGCTATATAATGAAAGATATCAAATATCCTTGTCTGGCCATAAATTGCAGCCTTCTGCCAATAGAGGAAAACCATGTCACCCACCCTGGCCTTCAAATCTAGTAAGTTTCGATCAATCCCCATCTCATGACTAGCCACATATGGCAGTAAGAAAGTTTCGGTTACATAAGTAGAAGCTCTACTCAAAACCACAAGCAGAATTTTGATTATGATAGATGTGAGTTGCATATAGATGCTCTCTCTTCAACAAGTGTGTAGTTTTTATATTGTTGAAACACTGTTAAAGAATAATACATCTGAGGATGAATAAACGTCCCTTAGTAAATAGTGCTACAAATGCTACATTACCATATGACTTTGAAACGCCTACAATCCAATGAAGAACAAACGCCTACTTAACTGCTAAAAAAATTGATCATATGAAGCACTTTCTAGCATCAATGTTAATCAGATAGTTGTGTTATTAGTAGTGTGATGACTTTCAGAATTAACAGACCATCAAACAAGATGGTGCCGGTCTCATTTAGTTGTGTTAAAGTACGTCTTCAAATTACTAACTATTATGGGTTCTTGTTCTATGTGAGAACCCAATCATCCAGTACAAGTTGTGAGTAACCAGGGTTTCCAGTATAACATTAATTTATTGATCCTCGCTCTTTTAATTTGCTAATTTTAATTATGGCCTAAGAGTATCAATCATCAAGTTTATGATTATGAAACTGGAGCGCTTTATGCATATGCACCATTTAATCTTACTATGGTGGATGATATCATTGCATAGTTGCAGTACAATCAAGTTGGTTTAGCCAAAAGAATAAGCTTTCATAGACCAAAAGCAGTCGAACCAAGCAAAAAACTAGATCAGTTATCAAGCTTTTTCTAGCATATATTTATTTATGGTTCATTTTTCTAATACTTTTATGGATTAATGTTATTATTTTTTATAAAACAAATATTATAACAATATAATGATAGGAGTAAGATAAAGATAAATACCAAGAAAATTTGCTTGATAACTTAGGGAAACATTTTCTTGATAAGTAATAATTATCAAATGTTATTTCCCAAAGGACAGAAAATTGCTTGAAACCAGAGAGTTAAATGAATACACTTTTGAATGATCAGAAGGTCAGTAAAATTAGCTAATAAAAGATTAAGCACTGAATCTAAACAGAAGATTAATGCTGCTATTCCGAAGTTTTATAAAGTAAACACTTTTAACAGGATAAATAAGAGACAAGTATATTTATTAGTGAAGCGAGGATATCTAGCTAGAACACAATTAAGAAAGGACCGAAGTATTAAAAAAGCTATATGTGAATACATTCACAATCGCAAATCAGCTGCAGGTATCAAAATTGTCCAGTAGAGTTAGCACAATCACGCCGTCGATGCTTCTCCTGACAGGTCCCCATCAACGCTAGTAAGCAACGACATTGATGAAGGAGATGCATGAAGCTTTGCTTCATCCCAATATTTTTAAATATGAAGATCATAGAAATTAAGCCCTTTTATGAACCTGGCTGAGAAAGTGTAGAATCAAGCCTGATAGAAAGGCAAAACAGAGAGGGATAAGTGAACGTACGAAAAGTAATAAAAAATGACGCAACTCAAAGAAGTCCAATTAGCAAACACCCTGCAAAAGAGATGAAACCAAAGATCCATCGGCCAGTGCTGCACACAAAGATTGCTCCATCAAAAAATGTTAATTTGAAAAATATAGATGTTAAACCCAAAATTAAGTAAGATGAACATATTATAAATAAAAGACATTAAAGAACTGCAAAACATATTCAAGATACCGATCATTTGGATCCCGCAGTTACTCTTGCTGTGATTACCCAAAATCTGATATGACATCACCTGGGGTAACACTTTAGAGTAAAGAGAAATAGAGTCTTTCACATAAGGCATAATCGGCAACCAGTCAACCTCCATATCTTTTTTCAAATTAGAAACAATCACCAAATGTTATTTCAGATAATTCAACTTGATGCAGATGTTAAAACCGTCATCACAAACAGCTTTAATTAATAAACTAATATAAGCTGCAGAAAAATGAAAATTTCAGTGAGATGACAAGTTGTTTGTAACAAACCACAAATTCACCATTGTCCCAATGTCAGAATAGAGACTAGGATTAATACCAGCAAACCAATAGCTGCTTCTAAAAACAGAATACATCCAGAAGACAATAAATCCATTCGTGTTGAAACAAATAGTGGCAGAATCAGGATCCAATGTCTCCTCAGATAACCAATTAGTATCCATAGTAATTTTACCATTTAAATTAAAATGATATATTAACGATGGCAGTAATGATAAAGAGTTTCTTCAAAATGCAGGGAGGGATCCAAGTAAACATACGGGTATTAATCTTTAGCGTAAAAAAAATGGTCGCTAAAATGTACCCATTTTAGCGACCAATAGTAATTGGTGGTCACTAATTTAGCAACCAAAAAAAGTTTTGGTCGCTAAAAGTCTCAGCGACGAGGCTACTGCGACAACCCAGCGACCCAAAATTTTTTGGTCGCTATTTGTTTTAGCGACCAAATTATCTTTATTAGCGACCAATTTAGATGGTCGCTAATAACCTTTTTTCTTGTAGTGTTTGGTGTTGTTGGATTTGTGTTTCCGAGGCGCTCAGTTCGACTACAAGTTTGCTGAAATAGGAATTCAAATGGTCTCCGATTTAATTTTTGAAATTTCCAACTTGATTTTGCCTCGAGACTCGTGCTTGATCGAGACTATTTTTAAGAATTTATTTTGGAACATTTAGGCTAGTTAAGAAAAATTTACACACATCGCATTGTGATGTAGGGGTGTCAAAATCTAACTTGACTTAGAAACCCGACCCGAAAAATCAGGGTTCGGGTCAACCCCTTAAAGAAATGGGTCAGGTTCGGGTCGAATTTCTGGGCCTGTTTAGAATTCGGGTTGGATTCAGGTTGACCCTACAACCCAAAATCAACCTGAAGTTGACCCAGGTCTGGGTCTTCAATCCATTTGGTGCTAGCGACTAGCTTTTCGGCCCTTCCCACCTTTCGTTCTGTTAGTTTTGTCATGAGATGAGATGGGACACCTACACGTGGATAGTGGCTAGCCTCACCGACGCACCTAGCCACCCACGCCCACAGACCACAACACTGGACAACCGTCCACACGGCACGCCGCGTCGCCGCATTGGCAGCGGATGCCCGCAAGCCCACGCGGCATGCGGCTTGTCTAGTGGCTGCCTCGCCTAGCACGCCTGGCCTCCTTTGCCTGACATGCTTGCAAGGAGTTCCACACCAGCTGGCTGGACTCGCCTGTTTGGAAAATCCTTGTTTAGATCATGCTTTCTGGGTCGGGTTTGGGTTGACAAACTTGACCCGTTTGTAAAACCGAATCAGGTTAGTGTCAACCTGTTTACCGCCGGATCAAGTCGGGTTCGACCCGAACCCTACCCGTTGATACCTCTCATATATTTTATTTCTACCATTTATATTTGATATAAAAATAAACTATGAATAATATATATATATATATAATATTAAAAATTTAAATGTTTAATATATAAATAGAATAATATATAATGATATGTATATAAATCTGCCTCTTATAAATCATAACAGTGCATTTACAGTGCCGACGACGATCAAAAGTAGATAATTTCTAGGCCGATCAACACCTTTCTAAATTCCGATTTTGCTGGTGCTGTGTCCCTTCGACAACGAAGACGAGACTACGAAGAAAGTTGTGCTTCTGGATCTAGGTTTTAGGATTAGGTTGGGTTTTGGCTCGCTTTTCGTTGTACAATCTGTTCTCTGGGTGAAAATCCAATGGTGTTCCTCTAGGTCCGATTGGAAGTTTAAGGAAGGAGGGGTGAGAGGTGAAACCCTAAGATGAAGTCTACGGGGATCATCAACATCGCGGCCAGCGCGCCAAAGCTGGACGCGGACAATCGGATCTCGCTTCGAAATTACTACCGTATTGCGAATAATCTCATTAAGCAGGTTTTTCTGTCTTTGAATATGTACTTACTCAATTTTGCAAAGGATTATTCTCTGTCTCGAATTTACATGTTCTCTGTGCTGAAAATCGTTAAAACTGCATAGTCTTAGATAGAAGTTTGTTAGGTTAGATGTGTTTGACCCTTTTCTTGGTTGAGTTTGACATAGCTAATTTAGCTTTGATAGTCTACATGGTAACTTAACTGGAAAAAAAAAAAATATTCTCAGCTCATCTAAGCGTTGTCTATTGATGGACTTGCATCATAATCAGCTTTGAATAGATAGTTTTAATGATTTGCTATGACTAAATACCAAATCCTCATTAGATAGATTACTTTGAGCACGAATTATTCTGAGTATTGGCTTTTCTTAATCACATTGCAAAAAAGTCTTGGATAATAAGGGAAGAGACCTAGCTCACGTGTAAAAAAACCGTTGCTCCTATTATACGGGCCTCTTCTCATAGAATGTTTGTGAAAGAGTCGATAATGATATAAACAACCTTACCCCTTCTAAGTAAATAGGCTGCTTTATTATTTTTCAAATCTGTCACCTTAGGTCATTAAGGGCATCATAACTATTGGGCTATAGCTCCAATATTACATCTCAAATTGAGCTCTTGTTGGCTTTTATAGGCAACATGCTTGTCATAGGTTAGGTATAAGTTTGATGCATTCCGGTTGAGTGTTATACACCATTATTGATCTCTCAGGCACGACAATGTCTTTTGACATGGATTAATACTTCTAATTTCTTGGTTCCCCACTAGAGGTTGATTTGAATACCATCATAAATTAGTGCCTTCCATGAGGTTAGAGAATTAGCAATCATAGGATAGGCTATGAAGCCAAGAGATCAATAACCTTAAGAGAGAGGAATAGAAGCTCCTAACCTTAGGATGTCCTTAGAGACACGACATGTTGAATTTATTGTCCCCCCTATGCTTACTGTAGGATTAACTTCACATTTGTATATGACCTATGAAGCCATTTATAATGAATATTTGGAACCATGCCACTTTTCCTTTAAGACAAATTCCATAAAGCTTATCTATGGCTTTTTGACCTAGAGGTCCCACCAATTTGTGGAGTTTACCCTAACAATCATGAAGTTATTTGGCTACGATGGGTGTTTTCAGTATGAAGAAAGTAGAGTTTTCAGTATGATGAAAGTAGAAACTTCATTATTCTTTTGTCTATGGTTGACCCTTCATAAGTCCCATTAAACTTTCGAGTGGTTTTCATACCTTGAGTATCATTATCTTATTGGGCTGGGTTATCATCTTGTAAGCCATCATCATTTCGGATTGGGTTATCAACCTATAATACCAATTAGTTTTTAGGGATGGGCTATCACCCCGTAAGCCCTAACATCTTCTTAGGCTTGTTCATCACCTTGTAAGCCCCTATCTCTCTTGGCAAATACTTTGAAGTGAGCTTGCTCAACTTATCTTAGGGCTTCCTACTCGAAGTAATCTGTGGATGCAATAATCAACCATTTGCCTGTAAATGATAATCTCTACAATAGAGGATGGTTCCTCGAGAATTGAGCTTCATAACAAAAGTGCCACCATCGCATAAAACCCTTACATTTCTCTCTAGGAGCTTTATGTTGTCTCGAATTGAAAGTTTTCTTTGGTATTATACCTATGATGTAATTAATCATGGGGGTTTTGTAATGGGAAATCTCAATCCCCTAAAACTAAATAAAACTTATTTAGACCTCTATAGTTTAGGGAAGTATCTAGGTCATATTTTAAATAATCTATGTTAGAATTTGCTTATCTCCATTACCCATTGAATTTAACAATAGGAATTCGTGAGACTCCTTTGAAGCCTATAGATCTTTGGCAACTTCATTAAGGAAGGTTACTCTATCCTTTAGTAGATAGAGTTGCACTTTTTTGTTGATGTTTCTGTAGATGCACATTAGAGGCTCTTCTTTATTCAAATTTTTTGTTGTGTTCAATCATACATAGTTTTGGAAACTACATTGGAGAAGATGTCTTTGTCCATTGCTTAATTTGTCGCGCTTTACTCTTGATGTCATCATACATGCACATAATAGGCCTTTTTTATTAGAATTTCTTTGCATTATGTCATGACTTTTCACCGACTTCCCTGATGTATTTGTCCTTGACTTATGTGGAAATTTGGCTTTCCAACAATTTCAGGAGGTTGGCACTTGATGACTTTCGAGTGAAGTTAGCCGTTAGTCATTCCTAAAGTCTTATTGACATATATGTTATCTTGGTCGTGACTTTGTCAATGTACACCTAACTTTAATTTTGTGATTAAAAAGAAAGTTTTAGTTGTGGTCATATTTTAAATGGTGTATTGTTTATGCTAGTTTCTTATTAAATTAAATTTAACTTTTAAAATTCATAAAAATTTTAATTTAAATAAAAAATTGATTTAAAATATATAAAAATAGAAATTTTATAAGAAAACCAATTGTGATAAGTTTATAGTATTTGGAATAAAACAAAGAATTTGTGTTTTAATCTAATTTATTGTTCATCCAAATGTCAAATTGCCTTTGAATAAATTCAAAAATATATTAAAATAAAGAGAATTATATTTTAAAAGTGTCATGATGTTTTCTTGCCCCACTTGAGTATATGGATGATGATGTAAAACCTCTGCTCTTCATTAATAGATAGATGAAAATTATTGGAATGCTCTTGGCTTAAAATATTTGTAAATAATTCATTAATCATTAAAATATTTTGAAACTTAAACCCTTCCCTTCTTAGTAAAATATAAAGGACATGGATCACTAAAAAATACTCTATATGGTGTTTTAGAAAAACCCATTCATCTCAATCAACTTTCAAACTATAGATCGAATAAATTTCATCTAATCGGTACTTGGTAGAATATTGAGAAGAGTGAGACCCTCACCAAATAAGAGGATATACATTATTCTAATCTTCAGATAAGCTGACAAAGGCTATGTTTTGATTCACTAACTTGTGTAGTGCATCCTTTCTCTATAACCCCACTTTGAGCTTCATCTAGATAGTTGGCTATACATCTTACAAAAAAGGCTATTTTGGTGCAAACTTCCATTAATCAAAATTGCACTACCTTTAGGGTTATAAGTTTTGACGGTGTTAGAGGGTTGTCGTGAGGTCTATAAGTTATATGTAATCTAATTCTTGGCCTCTCTATTTTTTAGAGTTGTAAGCCCCATCTTTAGGCTTGTCCTCATCCTTAGGATTGTAATCCTTATCGTCAGGATTTCTTTTAGATGTGAGACTCAAACTAAGGCTGGCTTTGTTCTAATAATATGAGCCCTCTACTCCTAGAGCCTTCACTAGAATGCTAGACCCAATCCTAAGTTGAATTTGTAAAAACAACATTACGAAGACATCAAATGCCAACACTAGGCCTGTGTCCATGCTATTAAACTCATTTAACAAACTAGAATTTGCATGAAAGTGCAAGCTAACAAGCTAATCAAATGTTCTTTTGATCATAACAACCAATTGATCTTTACTTGGGATGTAAGCACGCCTTAACCAAATTAAATAAAATGAACCTACTTAAAAGAAACTAGAATTTGCATTAAAGTGCAACCAACAAGATAAATCGAACCTTTTGTTGAATTAAAAACCCTAGCTTTATAACCAGTTGGTCTTATCTGGCATCTAAGCATGCCTTAAGAAAATCAAATCAAATGGACCTACTTAAAACTATAAAGTTATTTAAATTGGATCAACTTAGGGTTAATAAGTTTACAAACAAATTGAGAAGTTGGAGAAACATAAGTTCACTAGTTAAATGAGCTGATATTGACCCATTAAGCTATTTATTGATTTGCTTGAGTTAACCAGACCCTGCTTATGCCAACTTTCTTCCATATTTTGTCAATGACATCTTTGAAGTGAGCTAAACTCCAACTCAAGTTTCGACCTGAACACCAGGCCCCATCATGAGGAACTTGTGTAATGAAATATATTCCTCCATCGTCAGGTTTAATCATCTTACAAAACAAGGTATTGGTACCTGGCAATAGTCATTAGGTCGTATGCCTGAGATGGACTAAAACTTCAACATGAAGTATGCTCAAAAGCACAAAATCCATACCGGTCAAATTGGGATACTCGAGAATAGGCAACCTATGGCTACTAGTTTGACTCCCTTGAAGTTACTACATAAAGCCCTTTCACTTTGGTAGGTTAGGTACATAAAGTTGATTTGGGATGATGAAATTGTGAGATCTTGATTTGGTTGACCATTCATTCTAAAACCCATTATCAAATGATAATTTTTATATCGGTACATATATTGATGTTGTTTACAGAGAGTGTTACTTGCCTATAGATGAAAATGTAATTAATAATGAGGACTAGTGCCCATAGGAAATCTTGAATCTATAGAACAATGCTTGGATGGAGAGTTGATCCTACTCTGATAATACTTGTTGATAAATTTTTTACCATTTGATTCCTAAAATCAGCTAGAAGGGTTATTTGACCTAATTTTTATGATTTCGTGACTTTGTATTGAACTCAATTTACATGCTAGTCTCTACATGTGCTTTATGTTTTTAAGAGAATGAGTGCCTTTTTTTTTTTTTTCCAAAATTAGGATTATGGGTACCAACAAATTTCCTCTAAATCTAATATTTTTAGGATTTGCATATTCCCGACCTCAAAGCTATAGGCCTAGTCTTGATTCTTGGAAAACATTAGGCATTCAGGCTAGGATTTCTTTTCAAGTAGTATTTATGGCGGGCATTTGTAACAGGTAACCAAGTTGAGGCTTTTCTCTACAAGGTTTATGCAAAATAGGAATTAGGTGATGGATTGTTGTGAATGACATGGGTGATGCACTTGAAGAGATGATTGATTTTGACTGATTAAACATGAGAATTATAAAACCTAGATTACCGATCATCTAAGGATTATTTTTCCCGTGGAAGCTCCCTTAATATTCTTATCTTCTCAGATCTCACTTTTATCATTTTTTTTCCTTCTTCCTTTATGTTGCTTGACC